GAGAGAGAGAGAGAGAGAGAGAGAGAGAGAGAGAGAGAGAGAGAGAGAGAGAGAGAGAGAGAGAGAGAGAGAGAGAGAGAGAGAGAGATGCACTAGTCATATCAATCTCAAAATCTTACCATTTCCCCCTCCGACCAGTAACTCCTGCCATCCTCCTTATCATTCATGGCTCCTGCAACAGGTGCCAATTTGTATTTCGCACTGTTCCTCGAACTTCAACACCCTTCCAACCCACCTTCACATTCCCATTTCCCCCTCTCACAATTCATCCCTTCCCAGGATTACTCCTCGCACCTTCCATCAATCTCTTCACAGCCACTTCTCCATCCACCTCCTCTCTCTGTCCCTACCACAGGCTCACGGGCTGTGCCATCTTCATCCCTCGCATCCCCCGCCTCCTCCCCCTCCGTCTTCGTTGGTTCCATACTCGAGGCCATCAAGTCTATCACAACTAGACCAGCCGTCAGAGTCCATCCAGTACAAGGCCCAAGACCAGCAGCAATTGTTTTGTTTCTATTTTTTCCTCCCATCACATTTCTTACATTCCTTCGCCGAGCACGAGGGAAGGTGAAAAGAACGTAAGAAATGTACTGGAGCTCTAAGCAAAGGACAATACTCACGATAACGCCCACCTGTGGACGCAGACAACAGGTTCCAAACTCTGAAAGTGTTTCAGTGTTTCTCACCTGTGAATGACAATATACAGCCGCATAAGCTCATGAAACTGGGGGTCATCAAAACCCATCATATGGGCAAAGTTTCCAGAATAGTCCAGGTTGTTGTCACCAGGCAACACTTTTCCATCCTTGAACGTCCTGCCGAGCACTCATCACAGACCAATGTACGTGCAAATATGAGACACGGCAAGACTTCAACAACCAAAAGCATAATGAAACTGACAGCATTTGTTCACATTGTTTCTGAAACATGCAGTCTGTCCAGCGGAGGCGCATGTGCGCCACACCCAGGTCATCCGAGCTCGAGCTCACAGACCATTGATGCTAATAAAACTGCGCCAACACAGTTTGGCACAACGAGTCAAATAAAAACCGAACAGCCTCGGCAATCTCAACAATGCCAGCCTCTCCTGATCTACTCCAGTCATACACAGACTGAAAAGTCTGAAATACAATTAGACAGTAAGAAAGAAGCAGCAATTTGGCAACAAGGCAAGCGCGGTCTCTTCACGAGGGTAAAATGCATACAAGTCTAGAAATGGTTGGCATAGGAGTGCTGAAATTCTTTTTTTCAGATTTTTTTTTTTTGCTTGAGACCTTCGTTGGCCCTTGCACGGCCGGGGCGCCCGGGTCACCCCAAAGAAGGTGACCCGGGCGCCCCGGCTGGTAGCCGGGTAGCATCCAACCCTCCGACGACCAACAGCAGAGCTGAGGCACCATACTCACTTGCGATAGATCATGGCTGCCAAGGCTGGCACACGTGCAATGCAGTCCATCGCATCCTCGTAGCAAGGCTCCCAATATCTGCATCGCAGTTGATCGATCAAACAATCCTGTGCTTAGGATAAAATGATGGTGCAGTGCACATAATAGGTAACCAAAGGTGGGTACAAAAATCCAGACAACGCGCTGGAGTGACCAGACAGACGATTATGAATGATTATGAATGCGTGCAGCCACTTAGCCCACAATGAACATGACAAACCACAACCACAACCTTCTCAGCCAATTATGTGGTCCATTCTCTAAACTCGAATATTGCACACAGGAACGAAGTGCAATAACCAGATTTAAAAAGCAATAAACATTCACCAAAGTGCCGGCATCACGACAGGCACATCACCAATCAATGCCATTGTACCAGGATCCTTCTGCCATAATTGGAGGCATGGGTTGGGTGTTTTATGTGAAAGGGACGCCGGACCCAGTTTCCGACCTGAATATTAAAAAGATTGTTTTTTAAAAGAAAGAAAACAAAAGCAAGGAGAAAACAGACAGGCAGGTCTCAGGATCCTTCAGCCACGATGGAGAGGGTACTATACGTAAGGGACACTGACCTGAATATTAAAGATGGTTAAAAGGGAAAAAAAAAAAAAAAAAAAAGCAGACAGGCACATCAAAATGTCCACCTGGAAAGGATCTGAACGGGCCAAAGAACCCCAGTTAATACACATAATAACCTTCACATCAAAATGCCCATTTGGAAAGGACTTGAACAGAACGAGTGTTTGCAAGCTAATCCACATAATAATCTTGGCAGCTGGGCCGCCCGGGTTGCCTCAGATTGGCTCGGGTGGCATGGCCGGGCAAAGTCCTGGTCAACGACATGAGCAATCCCAGCACAAAAAAAAAAAAAAAAAAAAAAAAAACCTACGTCAAAGAACAATTACAAATCGAACAACTTTTGGCAGAGGGCTAGCCCGAAATTCGTGATGAAATCCGGAAAAAAAAAAAAAGAAAAGCAAAATACAAAATTATAGTATACCTAGTACTACCTAGTATACCCCTTTCAGCCCCTTCGAGCCCTTTTGAACCCCGTTTATACCCCATACACCCTTTGGTGAGAAATCGCCAAATTCAAAGATAAGGCCTCAGATTTGGGCACATCTCAGTGGGCACAAAATTGCCCCACTGGGCCACTGAAAAAAAAACAAAAAAAACAAAAAGAACTTTCGGTATTGCCTGGGTACCCCAGGCAGGTCACCCCCCGTGCAGATTTGCCCAGGTCTCACCCGGCCGGGAGGCCTGGGCCTGGCCACCCTGGTAACAAAGCTTGGCAAGGGATATATCCACATTCTTCTACAATGTACTAGAACATACATATCCACATTCTTCTACAATGTACTAGAATATATGGGGGTGAATGAAAATTAGAAGAAGAAAAGAACACGTTATCAAGGCTAACCTGCTCTTATGAATGCCCCCTGCATACGCCTTAGCAAATACACTTTCCGTCTGCACGAGAAACAAGCCCCCCTCACCCACTCCACAAACCCCCCATTCAACCCCGGCCACCCTTCCTTGCCCACACCCCTCTCCCCCGCTTCCCCGAACTCCTCTCACACACACACACACACACACCCAAATGCAACAACGACAACGTATTCAGCAACCCCAGACCCAGTGAGTCACACACAGAGCAATGCATTTTCTTCGCCATCGAAAGGCGAAACAATTTTAAACAATAATCCAACAATGTAAGCACATCGCACCGAAGCATGTTTGCCCAGGACTTGGTCAGCAACTCCCCCAGCGCCAACCCCCATATCCATCCAGGTACAACAAGCACGAGAACATAGCTGCCTCCATTTGGAAACGAAAAAAGGGCAACTTGCCACTGGCGAGCCACCATCGAGACTCTTTTGAAAGGGGCAAATGGGCTCTCCCGGATGCCACTGTGGTTCCGCAGTACCACACAATGCTCACCATTTGGTTGCGGATTGGGGCAGTCCCTCCAGGACAATCGCCACAAAATTGTGCCCAACTCGCCACACACAACAAGGGCTCCTAAACCACACCAAGCCAACATGCTGCATCCACAGTTTGTAACCGTTCACAAGCAGATCATGAGTTCGAAATTCGAATACTGACGGAATCAGAAAAATGAAGTAATGCTAAGCACTACCCCCTTTTGAAAACCCAAAAAGAAAAAGAGACCCGCTTTCGAGAGCACGAGAGGAAAAAAGAGAACAAAAGACAGTCATAAAAAAAAAAAAAGGTTACGCCCCCAAAAATATGCTTCCAATTTTCATTGCAAACCTACTAACATATTGAGCATCGCTAATCTGCAATGCACGACGGAATCAAGGGGTCATAATAACAGCCAACTCAAGCATCTGTGATCAGCACAGCAATCCAGTAGGAGACCAGGAGGTCAACCTCCAACTCGGGAGACCAGGAGGTTGTAACAGCAAACTCGGGAACACCTATCCATGCAGGTCCAATCAGCAGTTAGTGCAATGCTGTCCTAAAAAGCCACCACACTAGAACTTTTTCTACTAAGCTCCACACTATAAATTTTCATTTTTTTTTATTTTTTTTTATTTCGACCATTTCTCGATTTATGCGTGTCATCGTTGAAAGCGCAGGAGCCATGCTAATCTTCTCTGTATCATTCCAATTTTAACGGATGTCCCGAAGGGCACTAGAACTTATTCTACTACACTCCACACTATGAACTTTTTATACTAAGCTCCGGGCGTGATTGGTGTGATCAGCAGTTAGTGCAATGCTTTCCTAAAAAGCCACTACACTAGAACTTTTTTTTAGACCATTTCTCGATTTATACATGTCATCCTTGCGCAGGGCCATGCTAATCTTCTCTGTATCGTTCCAATTTTAATGGATGTCCCCAAGGACTCGGGAACTTTTTTCTACTAAGCTCCACACTAGAACGTTTTCTACTAAGCTCCACACTAGAACTTTTTCTACTAAGCTCCGGGCGTGATTGCTGTGATATGCATCCTGGTTTGCCCGACGCCCGTGATTGCAGCTGGAGTCTGCTGGACACTTTTAGGAATGCACTACTGTGAGTATGCCCCGAAGGCGGCCAACTTTTAGGAAGTTGGCAATTTTTTGAGACTGGATTCTTTTAATTACAAACTACACCCCGGCAGTCAGATGTGACACAGGGAAGTGACAGGGGGTAATGATTGCGAAGCAACAGGGGGGGGTGCAAGAGTGGTGATTAGACTTTGACAACAATCAAAGGCAAGCCAATCTGTCAGTTGCGTGGGGTCGGCAAACAACAAACAACTGAACGTTCCAAGAAGTATCGTCAGCTGGCTCATTCAGTTGTTTGCTGACCCAAAGCACAACCTCCGTAGTTTGGAATATTGGTCATCAGACTTCAACCATGATATAGACACAACAATCCTGGGACCTTGGGTCAGTCGCGACTCCATAGCCACTCTGTCAGTTGCAAGACAAGCAAGGACGGACAGGAGGACAACATGTGGACACCGACATCAAAGCTGCGAAATAGCCAACAGACAGCTGGAGGAAACGACGCATGGTATGCAAAGGGAGAACAGCACGACTGTGTGATGGTATGATGTGAAGCGAGATGGAGCCAGTGCAGTGCACGCAGCATTTGACAATTAGACTCCAGCAACAACGACAAAGCTTGAGAAAACGACGCAGGATACGGAAAGGGAGAACAGCATGCGAAACAGATGCAGAAAAAAAATGGGAAAGCGTCAGTACATCTGAAATTCCTTGCCTAATGGCATGCTCTGTAACGAGAGAGCCAACCGAGGGTGACACCAGATGATCGTAAGGGAAAGGTCACACGCAGACAAAGAGCTATACTTGATATGGAGACTGCACAGGAAATCAGTCCAACAGGTACTTGTCCTAGCGCCAGAGTCCATCCACTGAGAAGAGTACTTCCGGTCATGATAGAAGACACCACGGATTCCATGTAGGACACGACTGCCGGGACCTAGGGAATCTGTCTGACTCGGAGATGGGATACGAAGCAATCATCATAGATGCGACATTCCCCCACGCACCTGGAGGGCCATGATCCCTGCCGTGAATTGTGTCATCGGATGTGTACCGCTAGGCAGGGCATTCAGCACACGCTCAACATGACCTGAAATTGGAGAGTGTACAGAAACGGACATCCAATACAGAATGAGCTTAGCGCTGTGCTACTCAAATCATATTTCACAATGGCTCATCCCGCCAATTAGTAGGCTCAACCAAACGTTAAAAGAACATTGACAAATGCAAAGCGAATCATCGAATATCTTCCGTCTCTCATTGCACAGCTATGCTTCAGCTTTTCTTAATCTACTTCCCAGCACTTCTTTAATAAGACTCCACAACAGCAAACCTCAACAAAGCCAGCTCCACAAACCCTCCACATAGCTGAAGGCAGCAAGGGGAGAGAGGACAGGACATTCCCCGGGACCACCATGAATTATGACAGGCCCAACTACGAACTTTTTAAGTATCATTCAACCAGCACTACACTAGTCTCGGCCCAAACACAACAATAGCGGACAGGCTCGATTTCACACCCACCACCCAAGCCAAGTACAGAAGAAAACAAAGAGAAGAGATTTGATCACGGTCCTTGCGTGTCACGAGGAAAGAGGAGGAAGACTACGCACTTCTCAGAAAATTTTGACCGTGTTCCACTGACAAGACTTTGGAGGAGGAGGAGGAGGACTTGGAAACAACAACTGGAGCGGAACTGCACCCAGATCCACGATCATTCTACTCCCATCCAAATACTAATCTGGGCCCCTACGATGCGGCGTCTGCTCCTGGACACAAGCCACAGGCAACTGTCAACGTGGCAGGCAACGAGGCATTCATAGATCCTCTATGGTTTCACAATACACTTAAAAGATTTTCTAGACGCATTTTCTCAACATGTGCTCAATTCATCTGCGCAAAACGAAAGAAGGATAGAAGTCACAGAACATATACAAACGCAAAGCAACTCTCTTCCAAACCAAGTACACAGAGCAACTCTTCCAGTGTCAGTAGACTCTCATTCCAGCTATGCTTAGGTCTTGCACAACTAACGCTTCCGTCGTGGTGTCACCGGCAATCATGCACAATCAACTGTTTGCAATACAGATTTTCACAAGTATTCATAAGAAAAGCACTGGCCAGTGGCCACAAGATTAAGCAGGCAAAGCAAATGATTCAGCGGGGGTGCAATATCAAATTAGAGCTGTTATTCGAGGCATGTCCAGGAATGGCAAATGTCCAGGAACGGCAATTACCCAGCTACGCCCTTACCAAGGCTGGAGCCAGAGAAAGACCGACAACGAGGATACTCAGAGAAAGACCGACAACGAGGATACTCTTGATCGCAAAGTGTAGGCAGAATGAGAAAGAGAAAGAGAAAGAGAAAGAGAGCTATGTTCCCGATCTCTCTGTGGTCCCATTCTCTACGACCTCGCAACTGTGCAGATCCCATCCACATGCCACACCGATTTCTACAGCGATTACCAATGAAGCCAAGACAGGCATCAAAATGCATTTCCACAAGGCATCGGAAAAGGGCATTCGCTCAAACACCTTGAGAGACCTGTACATGTCGTCAATGTGTGCAGATATACCACCTGCGCTTCACATTTAACAATGCTTCTCAACTTGGGCATCAGAGCATTTCCAACGACACAGGCATTCTGCAATCATCGCAAGAGCAGAGGCATTGTTTTCTTCTCGTCCACAGGAATACAGCGTAGCATCAAAACAGACTTTGCCCAGCGCACACCAAGCTCCGCAAACATATAGGAGGGCGCCAGAAGCCTTCTCCTTTGTCCCACAAGGGGCTGCTGTGTTATAACGGGGGCTGCATCACTCACTTCTCAAGGCAAACGCAAAATCCACTCAAGAATTCACCCCCACACCGAACCTCGTCAGGACACGCTTTCCCACCCATCAAATTACCATCATATCAATATTTCATTACAAAAACGGATGCACACTGGAGTTCAAAACGTTCAGAACACAAAAAGGTCAGCACAGCATCTGACTCCCAGTCAATGAGATACATCATCTTGCAGTCAGCCCAACATTTGACTCTCAGTCAGTCGAAGAGAAAAATTTTGCATCAGCGGGTGTTTTAAACATTGTTTTTTTCCCTAAAAACTACTTCGTTCACGGTTCAAAAAGCGGTGCAAATCACTTGCTAAAAATTGTAATTGCACCCAGGCATTGAGATACATCGTGCATCGGTGAACGTGTCAACCATTGTTTTCGCAAAGACTACAATTCGGCCGTGGTCCAAAACTTGTCCAAAGCACTTGCTACCAAAACTTGTCCAAAGCACCTGCTAATAAGTGTAGTTGCACTTGGAACAATAGCGGACGGTGGAGGGAGCTAAGGATAAGAGTTATATATGCATGGGCGCAAAGGGTGAAAGACATTTTCGCCATCACGCGGAGATGCCTGCAGGCTGCAGCAGTTTTACCATCTCGCTGCAGGCAGGACTTTAAAATGCAGGGTATATGTCCAAGAACCCACATTTTTCCCCTACCACTTCTGGTGGGCACACGTTTCAGTTGAAGGATTGGCCGCACACAGAGGTTCAACCATGCCCGCAACCTGCAACAGGAACAAATACAATGTCAGGTCCGAAACTACCACCAACTCATAAAGATTCAGTTCCATCTATATATCATATATATAGGCCGCGGGGGCAAAGAGACATCCTACTGATTGATAGACGAAGAAATCATCCAGCTGAAGCTAGAAGCTAGAGCACGAACAACAGAGAGCAGAGCGTAGGTAGGGTACCAATCATCTCCATCAACTTCCTTTCAAACCTTTTTATAAGGGAGAAGTGATCAGTTTGTCTCTGTTCGCAACAGAGCTGTTCATACCGGCAGGCGGAAAAGCCAGTGACAAGAATTTTTAGAGTTTGCAACTTTGTATGAACAAGCTCTACTTCCTTAAACGCATGCTTCAGAAGTTTCAGACTTGTTTTAGAGAGTTCATTTTTGCGTTTTTGTTTGGGTTTCCCACTCGAGCTCGGCCCGACGACTTCTGTGCTCCTTGGCAGCACACTGGCTTTAGTTCAGATCCACTGCAGGTGCAACAAGTGATGTTTTCCTGCAAAAAAAAAAAAGGAGGCCGAGTCGGACATGATCATTGAACCAACCTGGCACTTTGGCACGGGACTTCAACTCCTCCGACACAGCCAAAGCTTGCTCTATCGTCGGTACCTGCAACCAAAAATGCACGTCAGCAGATTCAACAAAGTCCACAATCAATTCCTTTCACTTGCAGAGCAATGCAGACAGTATGACCGCGCTCGAGCCTCATGCCAATTGAGCAGGCCGGTTAGAGGGCACAGGATATCAGAGCGGTAACTAGATCAGATATCAGAGCGGTAACTAGACCAGATATCAGAGCGGTATCTAGATCAGATATCAGAGCGGTAACCAGATCANATATCAGAGCGGTAACTAGATCAGATATCAGAGCGGTAACTAGACCAGATATCAGAGCGGTATCTAGATCAGATATCAGAGCGGTAACCAGATCAGATATCAGAGCGGTAACT